TTTGGTTTTATTTGTTTTAGATAGATTGGTTTCATTGTTGAATATGTTTTCCTTTTTTTTTTATTCTTCTTAAATTTGTATTTGTATTTCTGTACTAAAAAGAAAGCCAATATTAATGCTTATGGCTTGTAGTTACCAGTTGAGGATTGAAAGAAAAAAGTCTTTAGCAAGTTAAGAATCTGAATTGAGACCAATGACTACTAAGGCAGGCCATATTGGGTGAAAGCTTGGTGAGCTGTATGTTTAAAAGATTGTATAACTAGGAAAAAAATTCTTGTAATTTGTTAAATAGTTTTGATCATAAATAAATAGCAACAAGTAGCCAAATTATAAAAAAATAATACTAATAAAATTTTGTCTATATTACAATATATTTATTGTGATGGCTGATACTGAAGTTTGGCTGATGTTGAAGCTAAAAAATCTGATTGGTTAGGGTTAGGGTGATCTGCAAAATTTAACCAATCAGATTTTTTAGCTTCAACATCAGCCAAACTTCAGTATCAGCCGTAACATTTATTAAATTATATATTTATATAATATTTTAATTATATAATAATAATATAACTATTATATTATAATTATATTTTACAAAAAATATAGGTTTTGTAAAGTTGTATTTTTTAATACTGCAATAATAGATAATTTTAACTATTTATATTATTTTGGTTTGATAAAATTCACTAACAACTTATCTTTGGCAAACATTAACTATAGATCAATCTAAGTCTAATTTAAATCAGAACAACTTTTTAGCAAATAGTTAGATTCAATTGATACTTACATATAGTGATTTACTATTAAAGGCAGCAAGATTTAAAATTCTGTTAGAATTGTTCTTAATAATTTCAAATCAAAAATTGACTAAAAATGGGAATGATAATTGGATGATTTATTGTTATATCAGAGTTTGTTATCAATATGAAATTAGAAAAAACACCTTTAAAATATGTCCGGGATTTACATATTTATTATAAACCTACAGTAATTGCATATATCGCATGATTTTGTACATACATACTTAGAAAAAATAGGATCCATGCTAAATTTGTGAATTACAAGTCTAATGTTAATGCTAACTTCAAATCGATATAACTTCATTGTATTCACTGTTTTTGGTCAAAATAATCTACAGTATTAAATCAGAAGCCTGAAGGAATATATTGTTAATAACCATATTTCCATAAGCAATTTATTTTTTCTAACATATATCCTATAAAATATGTTTGTGGATCTTGCAAAAGCAAGAGCTTATAGGCTATATAAAATGCTTTAAATTTTGTGAAACAATAGATCACCTTTTCCATTTTTGCTTGCGTAATTTAACTGTTAATGTGTTAATGTCGGGGATAATACTGAAATCAGATGATACTAAAATTTCATATCGGAGGATTTGTAGTCTAATAAATAAAAAAACTGTGCAAATATGAAGTCTTAATTTGAAATATACTAAATCCACATAACAATAACTTATCCTCTCATAATATGAATTCTAACCCTAAATTGGAACTCAACTCTAAACAAATAAGTTCAAATTTCAGTATCATTCTGACAATAATATGTTAAATAAATCTGTAAATTACAAACTTCACTGCTATAAATTATTAGATTTAACTACTATAAATTATTAGATTTAGCCAATCAAATCTCATAAAGATATATTTGACCATTTTATGATAGGAGGAAATTACCATACATCTAAAAACCTGTTAATACTGTCTACTACCCGAAATATTCTGATATTCTTGATTTTGATTAAATAAGTAATTTTTTAATTTAGATTTATTATAACTATTAAAATAAATATTAATTCACCTTTAAGATTTAAAAAAAAAAAAAAAAATAGATATTAATTTTGTTTAAACCAAATTGTTATTGTAAAAAAAAAAAAAAGTTATTAAAAAATTTGGTTAGCGGGTATGCAAAACGAAAATTTAACTTTGTGTGGCCTTAAATCATCTGATCTTAAACTACATACATATTAAACCTATTAAGCCGAAATCATCTATTTAATTGAATCCACTAAAAATCATTTAGCCCACCCGTCGGGTGATCCGAGTGGACAGATCCAAACACTAGTTATGAGAAACAAAAAAAGTTTTTGCGTGACCCAATATGGAGCAAAATTACTATTCCTGATGGATCAGCAGTACCGATCTTGATGAAGTTTAAAAAATTTTGATTTGAATACTGTTTCTTACAGGGTACTAAAAGTGAACCCTAATCCTAACTTTATTCATATACTTTGATATAGTAGTAGGATAGTATTTTAGAAGTCCTCTTTTAGAACCCTATCAAGAATAGTATGTAAATCAATTTCTTTCCCTGCCTCATCAGGAAGAGTACAATTCATCAGGTATGTAAAAGTTTGGGTAAAATTTAAAAATTTTGATATGTAGTATGTATAAAAATGGATATAAAATCTAAAATTTTTGAACTATGTAATTAGACGTGCATGAAACACTAGGGTATTCGATGTACTGTACTATGTAAATCAAATTCATGTATGTCCTATATAAAAATCAAATAGAAGATTTTTTCAGGTAACAATCACGATGATCTACAGTAAAACGCTTAAAAACTATTTGGTAATCGTTAATAAAATGTGGGTGAATATATTTGTCGCCGGCAGTTATAAAATTCCAACTCCAAATAACTCAAAATTATGCCTATGAATCGACTTCCGTATCTTAACAAAAAATATTCCTTGCATAATTAACTATATATCATGACTTTTCTAACCCTAAATATAACTATAAGTAAAATTCGGGTACTGTCACCTCTTGCAACAAATAGACTATTTCAATGAATTAAATAAAAATTTTAATAAAAAATTTCTTTAAAAAAAACTCTATTAACTTAAAATATAGGTTCTGCTGAGCAATTAAGCAAAATTTTCAGACTAGTTAGGATGTAATTTACGGAGAAGATACAATTTGAAGTTTAAAAATCTTATATGAAACGATTATTGTATCTCCTCCTTAAATTACATATTAACTAGCTTAAAAACTTTGCATATTTTAAACTAATAGAGCGTTTTTTTTTATTAATTTTTAATAATATTAACGATTTTCTTTAAAATTTATACGTAGCATATTACTATAGATCATTGTAATTGTTACACGAAGAAATCTTACTAATTAATTTTACGATCTACATAATACATTGGACACCCCAATGAAACACCTAGTGGCATACCCATGACCACGATACCACGCATCTTAACGAACGAACGAACGTACGTACGTACGTACGTACGTGGACATATTTAGACATACTCATACATAAACTTACAGTACGTACGTACGTACGAATGTACGTACTATAACAGATAACACAAAATTTAAATAGATGTTTAGCCTTAATGGCACAATAACCAAATTATGACTATACGTATAAATAATTTATTTCTTTTAAAATGAAAATTACTTATTCAGGAGCTTTTTGCCGACATTACACCGATATTATACCGATATTACTTTTGATACATGATTAATAAAGGTTTAATAGTGCTGATTAGAGGCCTGCACGGATGATGAAATAAATGTTTAAAATAAATAATTTAGTGTTGTGTAATACGTATCACTTATATTTAGTTAATTATTAAAAGTCAAATTTTTGTAGTTTGCTCTTGGGATCACGCTAATATCATGTGTAATATGTGTAATATGTGTAATGTGAAATACCCAACACCCAATAGTCTTTAATCTACGATAACTGCATGAGATTTTTTATCGATTATTGATAGACAAATTTGCTAGGCAGTATAGGGAAATCAATATAATTATTGTAATATATACTTAGTAAAATTATAATACGTGGAAAATTTTTGTCGCATATGCATATCTTTATGACACCCTAATGGACATGTCTATCTTAAGCATGGTGCCTGACGATCAGACACTGTAGATATAGTTCAGTAGTTAACAGTTAACTTACATACGTACGTACAGTACGTAACGATCAAACATAAAGAAAAAAAAAGGATGAACTTTAAGTAAAGAGTTCACAGTATATATGTAACACAATACCAGATTTAATTCTTTAATTCTATTATGAAAAGAAATTAAACTATTTGATCGTGATCGATTCAAATAAATCAAGTCAGAGAATCACAGACTTTAATTATTCGTGGATCTCATGCATTAATAATTATTTATTATCGTTATTAACAAATGGATTTCACCTTTAGATTTGTAATATATTACACATGATATATTTGGAAGAAATTTAATTACGTACACTAAAATATTAGCACGTATCGATGTAGTAAATAATAATAATAACGGCGTTGTGCATAACAAATTTCTCGACATTTGTTACCCAATCATACGTAGCCCTTGTACAGCGTTGTTAGTGTTTGACAAAGATCATCACTACAATCCTTATTTATATTCTTTTTTTCGATTTATTCTTACCAACAAAAACTTTAGTTAAACAGTGTGAGCCTATGCTCTCCTAGTTTCCATGACGGCAATAACTCAAATAGCTACGATCTTCCTGCTCAATACTAATTATATAATCTTCGTCTTCAAAAAAACTCATTTATAAAATCATTATAATTATTATATACCTCTTTTCTCGCAGATTAAATTTTTTTTAATTTTACCGAAATTAAATTTGTAAAAAATTTATTCGATTAAACTTTTTAAAACCTACCAAAAATTTTCTCAATGTCCAATATTAACTTTAATATTTGTTTTAAAGCTAATATTGATTTATACTTGAAAATTTTTACAAATGCCAAGCATCGATGGCATAAAAATATCAGTGTGATATTAAAAAAACTAACACCATGGATTCCTGTGTTGATTTATGGACTCTTTGTGATTATATTAATATGTTTTTTTATAATACATAAAGATAAAGTCTTAATTGGATTGGAAAAACTTGTACATCAAATACAAACTATGGGAATTGGGTATGTTTCTTCGAATAACTTTTTTTAATAGTTCATATTTTTCTTGGAAAATCTTTCTTGGAATAAATATTTCTAAATGTATTTCTAAATATATTTCTAAATTTATAGTGGCGCAATAATGTTGTACTGCATAATATTCTTTACTACCTTCCCACTAGTATTTGGTTACAGTACATTAATAACTTTATCAGGATTCATATATGGATTTGGTTTGGGATTCTTGATATCCTATGTTGCTGCCTTAACTGGTGCTATCACTGTATTTTTGTTGAGTAGAAAATGGTTTAAAAAACCTGTTAGAAAATGGTTGAATAGAAATAAATCCATGAGTGCTGTTGTTAGAGCTGTTGAAAAAAAAGGGTTCAAGGTAATATTTATATTGATCGTTAATTATACATATATAATTATACATATACTTATATATCACTACTTATTACTTCCACAGCTTTTGTTTCTCATACGTATAGCTCCTTATCCGTATAATATACTCAACATGTTACTTTCCGCTACTCATTTATCTTTACCAACTTTTACTGCTGCTACTGCTTTATCTCTTTTTAAACTCATGATTCATGTTTGGATAGGAACAAAGATTTCATCTTTTTCTGCCTTTTCTTCTCATCTTGGTTTAATTTCCGGTGAAATAGATAATACTACTACTAAAACTCCTTTATCAAAAAGTGATAATTTTGCAAAATATTTTCATTTTATAATAATGTTATGCAGTATTGCTATTGCTATTGGTATAATAATTTATGTATGGATTCTCGCAAGAAGAGTAATTAAGGAAGTTGAGGATGAAAATGGTGAATATATGTGGTTGGATGCTTATGATGTTAATGAAATTGGTGATAATGTAACATTATTGGGTACTGGAGAAATGAGATATAGAAGAAATTCCATCGCTTTTTGTGATGAAGTCGAGGATGATTCTAATATAAATATTAAACCAATCAATAATAATCTTTTCAACGAAAAGGATTCTTCAATTCAAATACAGAGTATAGTAGCATCATGAAATTATATATAAATAATATACTTTGATAATTAGATTACATAAAATTCGATTTTTTTTTCACACTGTAATTTACCTATAGTCTTTGACAATTTTGTTTGTAAAGTTAATTACTTTCATTAATTACTTTTATAATCCATGAGGATTTAAAAAAAGTCTTTATACATTCGGATATAAAATTTTAAATTATAAATCATACCAAAAATGAAATAAAAAATAAAATAACGTAAACGTTAACGTTAATGAATAAATAAAACCTCTTATACGTATTTATTGGCTTAATCTAAATCGAATTATATACTTATTTGTTGAGTTGCTTATTTACATGAATTTTTGGTTTCAACTAAAATTATTACACGACTAATTCTGACGTCTAACTCATGATGAAATTTCTCGAGAAACCATATGAGTGCCGCCAAGGGAAAATGTCCCTCTGATAATTATAGATGATTCAGCCCTTCTGATCAACGACGTATCGG